TCCACCAACCCCCAGAAATAAGTGTTGCAAACCCTAGAAATAAGTGTTCAAAACCACCAGAAATAAGTGTTCTAAACCCCAGAGATAAGTGTTCAAAACCCCAGAAATAAGTGTTCTAAATCCCAGAAATAAGTGTTCTAAATCCCAGAAATAAGTGTTCAAAACCCCAGAAATAAGTGTTCCAAACCTTAAAAATAGGTGTTCAAAACCCTAGAAATAAGGGTTCTAAATCCTAGAAATATGTGTTCAAAACCAGAGAAATAAGTGTTCTAAACCCTAGAAATATGTGTTCAAAACCCTTAAATTAAGTATTCAAAGCCATATCTAAATGTCACCGAAATGACCCTACCCACACCTTCTAAAGAGAGGGCTCTTCTTACTGTTAGAGGAAGGGTCTAATATATATATATATATATATATATATATCTATCTATCTATATGTGTCCATATATGCACACACACACACACTTAAACATATGCACCGACAACATGCATACACACACACACGCACCAGCCGCGTTCTCCCTTTGTTGCTGTTGCTGCTGTCTATCACTAGCTCTTGCTCTCTTTCACCCGAAATCTCTGAGTTGATCATGTAGAGGCTCGAAAGTTTAGGGCCTTAGGAATTAGGGTTTTCGGGTTTAGGGTTGTCGGGTTTAGGGGTTTAGTATTTACAGGCTTACTGTATAGGTGCGTAATGCGACACCCTTATCCCTAAAGCCAGAAGACCCGAAACCCCGAACCCCTGAAGGCCTAAACCCCAAACGCGAAACCCCCAAAACCCCAAACCCTGAAGCCCTTATAGCATCCTTATGGAGCCCTTATCGAAACCTAAACCCAGTAGACCCCTTTAGATTTCAAGATCCTAAAAGAACTAAACGCCTGAAGCCCTACATAAAATCCCTTATAGACGCCTTGTGGAACCCTAAAGATCGATGTGAACCGGCCGAATAAAGCCCTAAAGCCCCTAAAGCGCTCGAATGCTCTTGGTATTAACTAGGATAGGGTTTTGAGTAAATTCTACGATAAATATTATAGGGACCCCGAGCAGTAATGTTGCAAACTATTTAGGCTTCTATGTTACGCCCTATGGTAAGCCGTGTCATGGATCCCCCAAAAAAAGGAACCCCTTACCCTCTGAAAGGACTCATATTTTAAGGCTTCGGGGCCCAAAGACCCTATTATATGAGGCTTTTGGGCCTGTTTGATGCTAAGGGAAGGCAAGACGGGAGCCTCCAAGCTGGCATGGAGCAGAGGACTTCGAGTACCTGGGTTGGGGGGTTGAGGGTTTAGGGTTTAGGGGTTGAGGGGTTAGGGGGTATCTTTCAGGCTTCTACAAATAGGGGCCCCCTTAATTAGCTTAGGGTTTAGGGTTTAGGGTTTTTTGTTTTGAACGGGTTTAGGGTTCAGGGTTTTGGGTTAGGGTTAATTAGCCCACAAAAGCCCTCAGCACACCCTGTGGATTGTAAAGCCAGAATTCAGCAAAAACACTAGCAACCCTGAGCGACAAAAAGGACCTGAACAACAAACACCTGAAAACATACTACAAATCCCCAAAAGCAGTCAAAGCCACAGACTTCTAAAAACCCTAAACCCTAAACCCTAACCTAAACCCTAAACCCTAAACCTAAACCCTAAACCCTAAACCCTAAAAACACCCTGAAGGCCACCAATAACCCAGCCCAGGGAGCCCGCTGCCACTGAGCGGATCGACCCAAAGCGACCAGAGCCTTGTCCAAGCTCCGCACATGGAGATGCCTGGGGCTTTCTGGGGTCCAATATTCATATTGGGGCCTTAATAATGACAATAGTATGGGTTTAGGGTTTAGGGTTGTCATAGGGGCTATGAAGTTTAATATAAGGGCCTTCATGATGAGAATAGGGTTGGGGGCTAGATTATCCTATGCTTATAAGAAGGAGCCAACCAACAGCGTATCCCTTACCCTCGTACTCTAAGTAATTTTGGGCACGAAGACCCTATCATAAAAGGCTTTTGGGCTGTTTTGATGCTAAGGGTATTGTACATATGTACTATAGAGGCCTTAATAATTAGAATAGGGTTTTACGGCCCATTATACTCTAAGTATAATAAGGAAACCCCCAAAATAGTATTGGTAATTAATTATTTAGGCCCCTACATTGCGTAGCATGCCAGGTCTCAGGGATTCCCTTAACCTACCAAAACCTACTTGCTTTGCTGGGTCCCCATAAACTCCATATCAGGGTTTATGAAAAGAACCCGCAAAATATCAGGTTTTGGTGGGTTAGGGTAGGGTTTAGGGTTTAGGGTTGAGGGTTGCGGTTTAGTTAGGTGTAGGATTTAGGGGTCTCGGGTTTAGGGCTTGAGTGATGTCAAGGTCTGCATACTTGGTACTCATACAAGGGCCTTAATAAGCAGAATAGGGTATTGGTGGCCCGCTATGCTATAAATATGACAAGGAGCCCCCAAAATAGTATGAATTATTTGGGCCCCTAAATTATGCGGATTTGAGTATATGACTTGAAGGGCAATCTGGTTCAAGTAACAAAGAGGCCTAGTAGGATTCCTTTGAAAAGGATTCCTTTAACGGGCTACTGTGCAGCGAGTTCCAGAAAGTTGGAACATGGGTTTAGGAGGATTAGTGCCAGGATCCCGTATACGTTGCCTTAAAGGCACGAGGATACTAATATTCTGGTTCTACAGGTTAGGGTTTGGGGTTTACTATAAGGGTTCCTATAGGGGCTTGGCAAGGGTGCACTTACTTTGCTATTAAGACTAGAGACGGTTTCGGGGTACATGGCCGTACAGCTATATCAAGGAACCCTCAGTACTACTAGTAGTACTCATTCCAGCGATTTTCGGACTCATAACTTTGGGGCGAAGGGTTCAAGGTTTTGGCGTTGACAAGATGATCCTCGGTTTAGGGGCTTAGGGTTTAGGGTTCAGGGTTAAACCCTAAACCCGAAACCATGGGTTTATCGGGCGGCTGAGGGTTCTAGAGCTTATGAATGTACAGGGTTTAAGGTTTGCGGTGTATGGCGTGTAGGCTGGCCCCATACCCCCATTCTAATTCCTACATCGTAGGAACCCCTACACACCCTAACCCCTAAACGCCCTAAACCCCTTAACCCCCAAATCCTACTAAACCCGAAACCCACGACCCCTAAACCCTAAACCCATAAACCCATGAACCCCTAAACCCTAAACCCTCCAAGCCGCTCCAAAATCTGATGCTGTCAAGCTACGCTTTCTCCCGACGCCGGTCTTCCAGGCTTTGCAAGGATTCCTCTTTCCCCGGTGCTTTAGGGTTAGGGTTCCCGGTTTAGGGCTTGGGGGATCATGCTCCGGGTTCTGCCTCTTGGGGGGTTTAATTCGGTTTTAGGCTTTAGGATTTAGGGGTTTAGGGTTTAGGGCTTCGGGATGTTTAGGGTTGGGGGTTTTTGGGTTTAGGGTTTAGTTGGGGTTATGAGTATATCATTATGAGTTTTTGTAATTGTTATGTGTCTACCCTCAGCAACTGAGTCCCACGATCGTTTACCCAAGATACGGGCCTTTAAGATCAGAGTAGGGTAATTATGGGGGGGACATGAATACTGTAGCTTTGATGTGCTTTGTAGGGACCATTCGGGAACACTGTTGCCAAGTGGTCTCACCCCTGCAGTGAGACGTGTATCCTACAACCTCTGACCCTGCAAGCGTTGCTACGACCCCTACTCAAAGGATCTTCGGACAAGGTATATGGGGCGATGATGGGCTGGCGATATGGCAATTATACATACAACTACGGAGAACCCCACTTAACGTGCTTACAGCCTGAATGTAGGGGCATATTGTACTATACTTCTAATACGGAACCCCCAAAATAGTATTGGTAATTATTCCGGCTCTTATATTATAGCCTTACTCGCTAATTACATTCCATGACCCTTCGAGCACCTTGCTCGTCTGGAACCCACTCGTTTTTGGTTCTGAAAGATCAAGTTCCCTAAACCCTAAACCCTAGATCAAGTTCAAGTTTTTTGGCTCTGAGACTAACCTAAACCCTACCCTACACCCTAGATCAAGTTCAGGGTTTAGGGTTTGGGAACCTCGCGAAACTGCGAAGAGGATTCTTGTTGCGACAAGAGGTCGGTTTACGGCAGGTCGTCAGGCAACTTCTGAAATATAGATGCTGCCTGGGACATGTACTAGGCCTTTAATCATTCAGAACGTATAAGCCCAAACTGCAACAATGCGTGACATGAATGAAATGCAGAACAGTGCGGATCGGCTTGTCGAATTGCGCAACAGGTGCGTCTCAAGAGAGAGCACGTCTCTTGGAGGGTCCAAATACCCTCAGCTACATTTGACCCGGCAACCTTGCCATGCCAGACAAACGCTTTAGGGTTTAGGGTTTAGGGGTTTAGGGCTTAGGGTTTAGGATCCGGTGCTACCGTCCGGCATCAAAGATCCGCCATACTCCCAAACACTGTTTAGGAATAAATCCACTTCAGAAACAAAAAATTAAACACAATCAAGCTCTATGGCGCAAAACAGTACGAGCACGACTATCAAGTTTACAGTCGACGGGGGCGTGTTTATGAGCGGCAACACCCTGTACAAGTTATAGACCCAATTCAAAGGCAGGATTTATGGTGGGTCAAGCTTTCATTCCTCAACCTTACATGAAAGTGACAAAACCGATTTTTGCGAAAGAGTCTCTATTCGATTATTAAGTCTAGATTACGTTGTGTTTATAATCAGAACCTACAAATTTAAATTTAGGGTAGCTGACACCCTAAACCCAAACCTGAACCCCTAAACCCAAGTCCTAAACGCTTAATTACACCCCAAGCCCTAATACCAAAAACCCGAAAGCCCCTAACACCTAATCAGAATAGGGTTTTGGGGCCCATGATACCATAATCATAATAAGGAAGCCCCAGAATAGTATTGGTAATTAAGGCCCCTACATTAACGCCAAACTGCTGAACTCATGTCTATGCGCCTGCCATGACTCCTCGCGCAGCTTGCGTGCCGAGCATGGCGGGCGAAGAGACGCGAGCTGCATGCCATGGGTTTCTGAATGGCCTTCCCTAAGGGTCCATGTACCCGAACGGTATATACTTTGGCCTTAAAGCAGTCCCTATATAGGTACTTTGGGGCCAAAAACCCTAAACCCTAAACCCTGAACTGTAGGTACTTTGGGGCCAAAGTATATACTATTTGGGTACCTGGACCCTAAAGCAGGTTTCATAAGCAGAATCGGCCTGCTTGAAAGGGTTCCGTTTCAGGGCTCCTCTAAAGGATTTAATGAGGGTTCTACAAAGGTTTAGGGTTTAGGGTGAATCCTATTCATAAGGCATGAATATAGGGCTCAAGCACCCTTCAAATTTCTTCACATCTGTAATGGAACCCTTAAAAGAAGCCCATACACCATCCGAAAGCAAGCTCGACATGAAAATGGGTTTAGGGGTTTAGGGTTTAGGGTTTAGGGATGAAGTTGAGCACAAGTCCCGGTTGAACGGCTTCTCAGCAGACTGATTACGAACGGGTCCACCTACTAACACCTTCAAAAATCCCAAGTCCTTAGCCATAAAGTTCTCATTCCCGGAAACCTAAAACCTCTGAACACCTCAGCCATATACTCCATCAAAAGCAGGTCGACACAAGCTTCGGAACCTGGTGATGCAGGAGCCTCCAAACTCATTCGAATTGGGTCTTGGAGTAATGTAGATTATACCGAATTATACCATCATTATAATCAGGAACCACCAAAATACCGGTGGTAATTATTTAGTCTTCAATATTATACTGTTAGTATATTAAGTACTGTAGATGGATGCTCTTAGTAAGTCTGCCTACACCGAACTCATACTTGCCTGCATGCTGGTGACGAATCAAAACGACTGTCTCTTTAAACACTTTGCCAGCACAATGCCGATTCCAAGGCAAAAAGCCCCTAACCAACCTAAACCCTAGACCCCTAAACCCTAAACCCTACACCATAAGTCCCTAACCACCCTAAACCCTAAACCCCTAAACCAGAAGTCCCTAAACCCTAACCACCCCAAACCTGCAACCGCAAATAACCAAGCCCACCTCTGCTTCCTAGACCCCTAATGTAGGGGTAATTAGAATAGGGGTTCCTTTAAAGGGCTCCTTTAAAGGGTTCCATAAGGGATCTAGAGGGGTTCTATAATGTAGGGGCCTTAATAATTAGAATAGGTTTGTTTTTGTTTCAAGGGGGTGGTATACTATACTATGCTTATAACAAGGCACCCCCCCCCCAAAAAAAAAAAAAGTAGAGGTA